TCTCAGTTTTCTCAGATTTGTCATTTTTGGGATCTTCATTGCATAGACTCATGTGACCATGCAATTTCCCTTTCACACTATCGATTAATGTTGTCAAAATGGGTTTGCTCGCGTCCTAATAAAAAATTCGTCCTGGTTTCATCCTAGTTGAAACATCAAAAAATATAGGTATCCTGCATACCACGCATAAGTATATTAATTTTTTTTTACCTCAGTTGATGCAGAGTACCGAATTTTTGATTTCCCGTCTTGTGTCATCTTCTTCAGCTTCTTTTGATGAATGACATACCCGAGTATATACTAGTGATAGGGTAGCCTTCTTCCATTATTTTATATAAAGATTCCGAAGAAGGCTACCCTGGATGACATACCCGAGTATATGATTAGAAAAGTGAAGCCTTCTTCCATTATTTTATATAAAGATTCCAAAGAAGGCTTCACTTTTGAATATATATCCGGTTGCTTTTAATTTACGATTTGCCGATTAAGTTTGCTATCGCTTCTTTATTGCATCGGTACATACCCGGACACATATAAGTCTTCTGCGTAATTATTATAATAAAATATGGCAGAAGACTTATCCTCTTGATGTATTCTATGTTACCTTTCTTTTGCGATTTGCTTATTAAGTTCGCTATCGCTTCTTTTTTGCAACCATCAAAAAAATTAATTAAATGTTTCCGAATTTTATAAAGTAATATAAGTATTTTCAAACTAATGACATGCATACCTCAACTATTTCCGACCAAACTGATCGCACCAGAACTCTCGCCCGCTACGACGGTGCCAGTCCCGAAACTGGCATCCCTTATGTGTTTCAGGATTTAGGACTGCATCGCAATGATTTTGTGGCAGAATTCGATAATGGGATGACCGCTATACTTCAACAAAGTCTATCCGGCAAGCAAGCCATACATTTCATGCCTATAGAAGTTAGTGATGATACCAAATATGTAAATGGGCTCTCCACCTATATTTTGCGTATCACCGGTTCTTTGATTAATGGGCAAAAGGCAGTCGTGATTATTACAGGCATATGACCCTTCTTTGATATCGAAGTACCTGAAGAAATGTCGTTATCTATGTTTAAGACCAAATTAGTAAGGATATTATCTAATATTCTTAATAGCACATTAAAGTTTGGGATCAAAACTATTAGCGTTTACCCACTTCAAGGATACCATACAGAAAAGAAACCATATATCCATGTGAGAACATGGAACCAATATGATCGGTACAATGCATTAAAAGCAGTCCATGCTGTTGGAATGCGTACAGTCTCAGATGATCTAAACTGCCAGTATTATTATCGCAAAGTAGCCCGTAAAGAAAGATTGCCTCTTTCAAGCAGGGCATTATTAAGTAGTTATTCATACATACTGTTAGAAAATGCTTATCTCTTCCAAGTATCCATATACAATTACAATCCATTAAGCGATACTGAGTATAATAATCCATTATTCTCTTCGGCACTTACGAGAGATCAAACCCTTATACTCACAGGGATATTGAGACATATAGTTCACGAAAAACAGGCGAGGTGCCTAATGCAAAATATGATGAAGACAAAGTTTTTATAATTGGTATGACAGTGCATTGGAAAGATGATCCCGAACCGTTAAAACAAATCTGTCTTGTCGACGTTGAAACAGCACCAGAGCCAGGCTGGATCACAATTGTATGTGGATCCCAAACAGATTTACTAAAAGCATTTGCTTTATGTTGGAAACTTCTGGTCCTGGACATACATATAGGCTTTAACGATTCTCAATACGATTGGCAATTTATTATAGAGAAAGCTAATAAATTAGGGTTCTCGAATGGATGTTCAATTATATGTCATTCAAGCCATCCAGCCTGGAAAAAATTATAAAATGGAAATATCGATATAATATGATAAAAGTAAATGATAGAAAATTCCATTCGAAACATCTTAAAATTCCGGGATGTGTAGCTATTGACATCCGATCCTGTTTTATGGAAATTTATTCTAAGGCTGAAAAGAGTAGTTTAGCATTTTACCTAAATGAATGTAAGCTCGAAAGTAAAATGGATATGCCTATTCACCATATGAACAAATATTATGAAAGGGTATTAAAAGAACCAGATTCCATGTCAGCCGAACAAATGCACGAAGTGGCCAAATATTGTATTATCGATGCTCTTAGTTGCCAGCGGTTAATGGTAAAGCATAATGCAATTAATAAGTATAGAGAGGTGGCATCCGTAGCCTTCTTATCATTATTTGATGCACATTATTTTGCGGGAGGTATGAAGGTTTGCAACCTTTTAAGCGCTAACACATGGCAAAGAGGGATCCTAACCAGTATGATTTCAAGCCAACAAACAGAAACTGGAAAATACCCTGGAGCCTATGTTTTCCCACCAGTAAAGGATCTTGAAAATAGACATCCTGTAACTGGCTTAGATTTCGCATCTTTGTATCCAAGCCTTATCATGACATACAACCTCTTGCCCGATAAAATGATTTTATCTCGAGAGCGTGCTAAACAAAGTGGTAAAAAACTCCACGAAATTAGTTTTAAATTCAATAATTAGAATTGTCTCGCATGGTCTATCCTATACATGTGGTAGAAATTAGTAGATCCTTGACGCAATTGACGCAATTATTTGACGCAATTAATTGAGTCACTATTAAAACATATAAAATAATTGAGTCAGACGCAATTATTTTTGAGGATTTTGGCAATTGAATCAATAGCAAAATAATTTACACCACATGTATAGTCTATCCAACATAATAACATCCCCGAAGAAAAAGGTCTCTATGCCATTGTGTTAGAATATTTATCTAGTAAATGGAGTGAGATGAAAAAATGTCTCGCTTATTTGAAAAAGAAAAAGGAAAACATGGATCTGGTAATTGGTTTAATGGATAAAGGTTTATTATTACCAGGAGCTATTGAGCAAGTCTTAGCAAATACAGAGGAAAAAAAGCATGCCAGCCTTAGTGAAAGTTTACATTATTTTATTAATAAGGAAAAACGTGAATTTATAGCAGAATATGATTCTATTTGTTTCGACTGCTCTTGCTTAGATGCGAAACAATATGCTCTTAAAGTGTACATGAATACATTTTATGGCACTGCTGGAGATAGTAAATTCCCTTTCTTCTTGCGAGCACTGGCTGGGGGCATCACATCAGCTGGACAGAGAAATATCAAACTTGTCGCAGACTTCGTTAAAAGTAGAGATTTTCAGATAAAATATGGTGATACTGATTCATTGTATCTAGTTCCTCCAGAAAGGTGCTTTCAAGAATGCGATGAGGCATATGACAACGGTAATGGGATCTCGAAAGAAGAATATTGGTCTAGAATGGTGAACATCTTTATGGGTGTGATGGGGAAACTTCGCGACGAAGTTAATGACTTTCTTAGAAAAGATAATGGATCGTTATATCTTAAAATGGCATATGAGGAAGTCTTATTTCCGGTAGTATTTACTGGAAAGAAAAAGTACTATGGCATCCCATATGAAAGTAAGCCGAATTTTAATAAAAAGCTTTTCATCTGAGGGGTTGAGATTGTAAAGCGGGGACAGTCTAAACACTTTCGTGAGGTGGGTAAGAAGGTCATAGAGAAATCTATGAGGCTGGATAATATACGCACCTTGCGTCAGATTGTGAAAGACGTGCTCAAAGGGACCATAAATGATATTTCACAGATAGATCTTAATGGAGTGATTAAAACTGTTGTGTGGAAGCCCAATAAAAATAACAAGAGTGTCCAGCGTTTTATTTCACGAATGCGAGATAGACACACCCGTGAAGAAGCGGATATCAAATGGCACATAAAAAAGGGCCTAACACCTGAGCCTTATCTTTATGAAATCCCAGAACCGGGTGAGCGTTTTGAGTATGTTGTAGTTGAGAATGATTCATCAGATAAGGTTGGAGATAAAATGGAGTATCCAGAGGTAGTGAGGTGATTAGGTAAAAAGATCGATATCAGCTATTATCTGAAAACTGTTGTTGGCCTCTGTGTACGATTTATTAACTATGATGAAAGACACCAGCCATCATCTGAAATTGTGCTGGGGGTCTTAAAAAAGCTAAAAGATGGTAATAAAGCGGGCGATAATAAAGCGGATGATGGTGGGATAGATGAAGACGACCTGGACGATGATGAAGAGGATGAAGACGAAATGGATGAAGACGAGGTATCAAAAATAAGAGATTCCTTAGCACAGAAATCAGCTGAAAAGTGGGTTAGAGGCTATCAAAAACCTTCATGAAGGCCCGAAAAAAGATGAAGCCGTCATATCTTATCTATGGAAAGGAGCCCGCATTTACGTGAAAAAATTATTTGATACTACTTATGCCGACAAGGGAGAATGCCTGACTAACAATGCTTATTACCATTCCTTCCTCAATGCGTTAGATAAGCAAGAAGAATCCATCCGCTTAAAACTTTCATCATTGCTTAAAGAAATTTCCGAGGTTAATATAGAGTATAGAGACAGTATGTATAAATTAGTTACTAAGAAGCGAGCAATGTCCTTAGAACAATATTTAACATCATATTATTTGGATGAGTGTAAGCTATTAGCAGATTTCCGAAACACATGGTACAAAGTGGTTGGCTTAGAAATCACACGCTACCGAACGTTATCGAAATTACAGAATGACAAAAAAGATGATTCATCTGGAGCAGATATAGACGAGATCATCGAATTATATAGTTAAGTTCTCTTAGCAGGATGTGGCAATTTCAGCTAAGAAACTTAGTCATAAGACACTTCACATAATATTATTTACATATTTTTTTTCTCGTGCAATAATACCGGCTAACTTCAATTTCTATCTTTGAACTTCCGGCCTCCGATCATACAGCCCAGCGTCGGAAATACCCGGAGACGATAAAAAATAGTTCTGGTTAGGAGAATACTCGGTATTACTTTTTTTCCATGAATTCCACCATTTCCTGACCACGAACCATATAACCACAATCAGTAGTAAAGAAAGTATGGCATATGGCATTAAGGAACTTTTAACGACTGGTGCGGTTCTAGAGGGACCTGCTAGAGACATTACTTGAGGTGGTGGCACCACTTCTGCGCCACCTGATTGCTTCGCAACCCCTTCTCTCGAAATAGACTTTTCGGAATGTGCTGGTTGACTATGAACGGATTGATTGGGTAGGGTATCTGTCTGGCTTCTCGAAACCATCCCATCTCGGGGTAATAGTTCTTGCAAAGCCTCTAAAATATCTTCCTTAGCATACTCTTTGTCAAGTTTCATAACTTTATCTTCAAGTCCACGCTCATAGACGAGAGGTCTTAGATCATCACTGACCCAGCCTGGTAGTTTTTGCGATGAATCATTCATAGAGGGAGGTGGCGGGTTAGAGAGATCTGCTATCTCATTATCTTTTTTTGAGATTTGATCCCTGAGGGACCTATTTTCCTCCATTGAATTTAATCGCGCCTTTCTCAAAGCATCTATTTCTTGACTGGTTATCTCATGTGTCGCTTCTATCCCTTTTTCCATACATTCTATTTCATGATTTTTGGAATTAAGGTCCTCCTTTACCCGTTCTAATTCAAGCCTAAGAGAATCAATCTCTTTAGGATCGGATGACTTACCTTCCAATTCACGTACTTTAGCTTCAAGAGAAAGAATCGTATCCTTGTCAAGGGATGAAGCTTTTTGGGACAAAGTCGCCTTTCTCTTCAGTGTTTTAATCTCTGATTTGAGCGATTGGACGTTGACTCTCAGAATGAGACTTCCGTTCAGAAATAAGTTGGGATCTAACCTTAGTAGTGGACGCAATTAACTGGCTAGCTTTATTTTCAAACTCCTTTTCTCGTTCATTGTACTTATCTACCAACTTTTCACTAAGATCATTAATTTCGGCTTTAGATTTAAGAGCGGAATATAATTTTTCTTTAAGCTCTTGCTCATATGCACCACCAAGTCGTTGACCAACCCCCCTAAAGGAACCATCACCTTTATTATTGATATCTTTCAAGGTATACACATTGGTCATAGCCTTATTTTTCGGCTTAGTTGCTAGTATATTAAAAATAAAATAATTAAATATAAGCAATACCGATAAAAATAACTATGCGTAGATATCTAAGATCTGATGCAACTCTTCTTTCACCTGAAACATACAGTGATATTATAAATGCTAAAGGTAAAAAGAATATATAACCAGTTTTAGCTAAAAAATACAAAATATCATCACGGAGAGTGTATCAAATATGGCGAGGACAAGAGTATCCTCCTAGTGTTAGCTTGGCTAACCAAAATAATGATTGGGATAAAGAAATTGAAAGCATATATAATTTATATGCCGAGCTTCCTAGCGAACGAATGGATGAATTTTTCGGCTAAGCCATTGTAACAATTTTCCAAGCGAAATTTATTTTTTTTGGAGGACAGATTGCGCATAGCACTAATGCTCCCGATACTCCTGATACTTTGCGTATTACTGATACTTCGCATAGATTTAATAATTTACACACATTTTTTACCAATATCACGGATAGAGCCCGTAGTGTGCATAGCACTGATGCTTCCGATACTCTGCATACTACGCATAGTATTAATATTTTGCGTACACATTTTTTATTAATAGTATGAAAATCTGATCTGACAATATGACCAATCCCCCACTCAGAAGGTATATGCGTTCTGATGCTACAAAATTATCTACTGCAGATTACGAAGACATCATGCAATACCGAGATATGAAGTCCAAGCCTCTGGAACAATTAAGGAAGAAATTTCATATATCATCTTCTCGTCTATATCAGATTTGGAGAGGGCAGGAGGTAGGAAGGGTCGAATGGAACTATTCAACAGTCCCGCTTTCCTATTCAAGTACAAATGATATAGATAAACAGAATGATACAGATTTTCAAAATAAATACAATTCTACTATTTTAGCACTGGAAAATGTAATACCTGATGGTGCAGAAAAGCCTAGTAGATCCACCGACCCAGTATCAGAAGAAGGTGTTATTTCTGGAAGTAAGGTAAAAAAGACCGGAGGAAAAAAAACCAAGTCTAAACCCGTCCGCGTCTCTGAGTCGCCTGCTATTCAGACTCAGCTAGCACCAATGAATTCAGAAGGTTTGAATATAAATGATGAAGAGTTAAATGCATTTTATGAGAAGGAAGCTAAGAGAGACGAAAAAAATAAAACAGAGGTGAATAGACGTCTAGCCGTGTAGAAGATATTTCCCATTTAGTTTATCATAGCGTACTAATAATTTCTCACACAATTCGTTAAGATCCTCTTTAGATTTAAGAGCACTATATAGCTTTTTTTCGAGCTCCTTATAACTCATGCGTTTTTTTTTAATGTCTTGTCCCCGCTTAAGTCTTGCGAAATGCAGTCCGGGATCGAGGAATCGTCACAGTCGGGAGTAATGTTTACGCAATTCACCTCGAGCTTATTCTTGACCTTATGCATGGTGACCGGAATAGTAAAATCCTTTCCGTTATGGTGGAGCTTTAACTCATCTTTATCCCAATCAATTGCGCATCTGTATTTCTTGAGAAGAGAATTAGAAAATATTAGCATTGGCTTAGAGTATTCCACAACCACAAAATCTTCGTAAATGATACAACCCGGAGCCAAGCTTATTGGTAAATCGTGAACAACCCCAACAGACTCAATCGGAAGAGTAGCAATACCACTAAGATCATGTTTTATAGATTTATCGATTCCATACCCTACACGCTCAACAATATCGGGTGTTATAATAGGAAGTTCAGCGCAAGAGTCCAATGCCATAGCTGGAATTTTAAGATGCTTAATCTTGCATTTTACAGTTGCAATGCTTGTAGGAGGCTCCTTCTTCTGAACGAAATATATTTCCATAGGACCATCCAAAATATCCTCCTCATCCGAATCTTGAGCTGAGACAGGCTCACATTTTTTAGCTTGCTGAATTATGTATGGAAGATAATTCACAAATTCGATCTGAATGATTTTGCGAATAGTTTCTTCTAAAGACACACGCTTACCATGACTATCTTTATCTGATGAGGCATTATGGGCGGAAGAAAAATTATTGTCTTGCTTTACCTTACAAAGCTCGGATTTACTAGAGACCTTAGACTCTGAGGATTTATCGGGATATCCACGTTGCTTAGCGCAATTCACTTTTTTTTTCCATGAGTTATGTAAACATTCATATCGCGTTTTCCGGAGTCTGAACCGGCTGACGAATTATCAGAGTTATAATCATTGTCCTCAGGTTTTGATGTATCATCATCAGAAAAAATGGGATCAGACTGTTCTTCTACTGTAGCCATATGAACTCGACTACTTCTGGATTTGGACCACTATTTTTCCCGTGCCCAACTTCAACTTAGCATCATTAGGGATAGTATTATGCATTTTGTGAAAAGCGATCTTGTCAACTTTAGGAGGAGTATCCGTGTCTTCTTCAATATCGTCTGTTATATTTTCCCCATCTGAATCATCATCTGACAATATATTTTTTCCGCAGTACGGGCAAAATGTGATATCCAAAATATTAATCTAAAGAATAAAAAAATATAAGTAATGTTTATCCATTACAACAGCAAAAATTAATGTATTTTACCTCCGCGTCACAATTGGGGCACCAAGGAAATTCATCTCGCTCATGCTTCTCTGCTACCTCACCCTCCTCGTCATCCGTTTCGTCTTCAGACGGACTGGGCGATTTTTTTTCGGTGGGACTTTTAAAAAAATTGTCTACTTCGTCACCCAAATCCTACAGAAATACGAGGTCGGTATCATAAATGACATAAAAAATATTAAAATAACGTATACTTACATAGCTATTTATATACCCGAATGTTTTCCGATTCTCAACACTGTCCGGCGGAGTTAACATTAACGATGGATCATTGTCTTTACATTTATCATCTGACGGTGCGAGATTCAGAGGAGTCGCCTTCTCAAGTCTGGTACCATCAGGCAATGCATTTCCCTAAATAAAATTAAATCAATTATCTTCTGTAAAAGTTGCAACAAAAATTTAAATTATATATTGACCCTTTTTCCTGATGTTTTCTTCGACTTTTCTTTATGAAAGCGAACTCGCTTTGTTTGTTTTTGTTCATCATGACCAGATTCAAAGACAATACTCTGACCTTCACTTGATTTATTTCGATCGTAACGAGTTGGGATCTCACTTCCGGCAGACTTGCGCTTTCCAGTTTCTGCTTTAACATCTTCAATAACATATGATCTAGTATCGTCTAGTACTTCATAGGTAGATTTTTCGAGATTATCAATATATTTTACCTAGAGAGAAGATAACTATATTGCATTATGTTTTCATTATTATACGAAAGAGTGGAGATAAAGGCTTGTTAACACATTTACCTTTGAATTATTGATCTCGTTTCGCCTATTTAACTCCTCCACACTTTGCCAGAAGTCTTTAACCGCTATAGTATTTTGCATAACCATTTTGAAAAATAATGTTAGTGATCGTCAGACTCGTTTAATAATAACATGATTATCGGCCGGTATCCATAAACACATCGAACATGATAGTTCGTCAGCGACCTAACCTAGAACAGTCTGTTCAGATTGTTAAGTACTGTGATGTGGTAACAGGAAAGGTGGCCAGCATCGAACATGATAGTTCATCAACGATTTGACTTAGAACTTCATATAATCCTGTTCAGCTTGTCAAATGTTGTGACGTGGTATGACATGATAGTCAACTTGGAGGTATCTGCATGCCTCCAAGCCCACCTTTACTCTACAGAAATGACAATCTTTTACTTATTCGTGCCATTTCCCGAAATCACTCCTAGGGTTCTAATATACGTGTTGTGCTCCCTCATTTTATCTGCCGTCCAGTTATCTTCCTTCTGGCGAAATTTCAAAAAGCTCAAAAGCGTCCAATCCGAACACTCTGTAAAAAAATTTGTTTTCATTTTTAAATAATGCGGAAAGAAGTTTTGCGCGATAATCATTGCTCCCGTGACTTCGATCCAGTTACTAAAAAACTCCTCGATAACTAATGGTCTTTTAAATAATAGATCAGTATACAGTAGTTCTGAAAATCTTATATCGTGCTTTTTTTTGTTGGCAAAGAAGAACGTGTAAAAATCTCTCCAGATCTTATAATTAATCATCCAATCAAAACACATAATTAACAGTGTGGCGCAAATCTATAATATTGTACTACAGTATTTTTTTCACATTAAATATCATTATGGATTTTGGAAATAATGATTTATCTGATAACCATATCAAAACTAGCAAAACAATCACACCACCACTTTTTTAAACATAATGAAATGTATTAAACAACAAAATTTTACAAAAAATCCACGTTTAGAAAATAATTATTATGGAGAATTTCTGACCTCTTTTAAAAATGAGCATAGTGAAGGACAGGCTCTTATTGAGCAATTTAAGGTGAATATTATTTTATATATAATCGATAAATCTCATTATTCAAAAGTTATTTAAATATATTATAGAAAGATAAAGAATCAATAAAGCTTTGGTGAGAGATTGTAACTGGAGAAGACGATTGCGTAAAAGAACTCAAACTAGCTTTTGCAAATGCATTAAAATTAAAAACCATTTATTTGCAGGCAATAAACATAAAGGTAATGTATTAAAAAATCATTGCTTTGCATTATACAATAATGATCTAATTATTACTCTTTAAAATTTTGAGATAGGCTTCATCATCAAGCCACCAAAACCTTTATAATTTATTGATAAATCATGTGAATTCGTTAGATGATGATGAGAGTATTAAATACTTTGAGTAAGTAAATTTGTATTTGTATATCATATTTTATTAGTGGATATTAACTCAGCGTTTTTTATAGTCCCATTAAAAGTAGTGTTGTTTGTGTCTATGAACTAGATGCACTACTAAAAAAAAAAATTATCTAAACAAGATTTGGACCATTTATCAAAAAAAAATACACATTCCTGTCAATAATATTAGTACTCCATATATGATGGATTACATCAATGATACTTTAGCTTGGTATACGGATTCAAATGTGACACCATTACGCAATACTTCAAAAAGCCAGAAACTCCTCTAAGTTGTAATCATGAAGAAAAAATTCAATGTGAAATTTATAAATCCATATTGAACCACATGTAAGTAAAAAATTAGATCCACGTTGAACCACATATAAGTAAAAAAATTATTAAAGTTTATTATATGATTTGTATTAACTTTAATTTTATGTAGGGAACAAACAGTTTGGTCGAAATCATATAATATAAAGAAAATCAGTGAACAACAATACACATCAGACATGATATATAATTTCATATTCAAATCATTAACTCATATTAATGATAATATTTGTACGTTATTGTAAGTAGTAAAATCGTATTTATATATTTATTTATCAATTTTTTTTTGATTTTTTGTTAACATTACTTTTTTAAATATTAGTGGTGATAACATCTTCTGGATCGGCACAAAGAAAGCGCATTTATAAATTACTTGGATTAAATAATAATGATAACAAAATCGGTCGTCGCTGTGATTTGCTTGTATCTGATCAATACGACTACGTACATCTGATAGGAGAAGTAAGTGGGCCACCTTCAAAAAAACTTTCTAATAAAGAGAGATTTGATCTTAGTAGAAATAACCGTAACACTAAAGATGAAAAAAGTTTATGTGAATTGTCTATAATAACGGAGTTTGGGCCGATTATGGATGAATCGGATTTAGATGTTATAGTAAATGAACTATACATATTTATGATCCAAGTAAGAAGTAAGTACTCTTCCGTTAAAATATTGCTATTTAATTATTACTAACTAATGTTACATATAGAGAAAACAATAGAAACATCTGTGTTGGATCATACTATGGGCAAAATCTATCGTTCGAGACTTTTGAATCGAGCAGAGATCCCTTTGGAAAAAAAGCACGTAGATAAAGTTAATTTTTTACAATTTTTATTTACGATTTATGAAAATTAATTGTAGGTAATCATAAACATAGATAATATCTTGATAATTCAAAATGTTATATTTAACTAAATATAATTATTTAACTTTATATAGGTTGCCATTATGCAAATGCTAGTAAATTGGATAAATCAATGAATAAACTTTTAAGAAAAAAGCAAGAATGGAAGGCCAATAACTTTGATGATGATTTTGATAATTTATCAATAAGCGATGCTGCAAAGAAATTGGTTCTTTCTCAAGTAATCACATTTTAAACTCCTCTCCGTCTGAATCACATTTTCAACTCCTTCATCATCTCCGTCTGGTAGTCTCCAGAAGACTTCAGCAGACAACTTATTAGACTTTTTTTAACTCCTGCACGTGCCAAAGAAACTCTTAGATAGATGAATTCGCTATTTTCTTTAGAACAGGTTTTTGCTATTCTTCTTACACCAAATCGTTTATCAATAAGCGCTGATGATGATTTAATTCCAGATATTGAAATTTAATTTTAAGCATTCAATATATTAGATATGTAGTTGCAATTAATAGCATAAATATCATTATGATAAGCGCTAATAACTCGGGCATCTGTTAACAATAGACTGCAAGCGTTAGAAGCCTTTATTATAATGTTAAATGACTACTTTTTTTTTTTTAGACTTTTACAGGTCATTGACATTAATCACTATGATATGCGTTTATAACCCGGGCAATCTATATCTAATAGGTTGCAAGCGTTAGCAGCTCGGATCATAATGATAAGTTGTCAATAACTTTTTTTTTTTGGCACTGAACGTTTTTTACCAGTTACGAAAAAACAAACGCGTTTCTATATATAAGATCCTATTAAAAATTTATTGATAATTTTATTTATCCAGAAAATTTACAGTATGTTGATTTACTCGCGAAATTCGGAAAATTCCAGAAATGTTGTACCAATTTCTATTGGCCAAAGTTTGTTTTTAATTGTTTATGATTGATATCTCTGTAATCAGTGATTCAATTTGAACAAAAATTTTACCATTCAAAAGCTCTATATTAGATGAATTTAATGATAAAATTTTTGCTCAAATTGGATCACTTGTTACAGAGATATCAATCATAGATGATTAAAAACATAAGATATATAAAAAACTTTTATAGGTTAAATAATTAATATTTTTATAACCAATAATTAGATTTGAATAAAACTTTTATCATTAAATTTTTTTGTAAAGAACTTTCAAATGGTATATATTTTAATTACATTGAGCCACTAGTTATTAAAATAACAAATAATTTTAGAATTATGATATTTTCTTATATATAAATAAAATCTCAATTATAATTAAATGTTTTTAAGCAACAATTCATACAGACAGTCAAAATGCAATATATGCAATTCAATCCAAGCTTCTGAGAAAGCAGAGACTAGCAAAAGCAACAAATCTTCTTACAACAATCCTCATAAGAGACAAAATCCAATCCAAAAAAACAATAACGGAATTTAAGAAAATCAAGACTTATGCAGGAAATAGCAACAATAAAAAAGCAAATAGTCTAACAAAGGAGGAAAGAGAGCTTGGACATGAATGGATGGTCGGAATCAAAAGTCAACACATTGATAACCTGACTTGCACACTACAATGGAATAAAGAAGACCTGGACATTGGCACCAGTGGATTCATGAAACAATGACAAAACAGCAAATGGATTAGTGCATGGACCTTTCAAAGGAGACACAAGGCATGGTTGAGAACCGGCAATGAAAAAGAGATTGACTGAAAAAGAACATGAGCCAGCCTGTCACCATCAAAGATCACCAGTTTTGTTACCAATCAACAAGACCATAATATAAGAGCATTTAGATACAAACTCCTTAACGAGGAATTGTCCACAAAAGTCAAGCTATTCAAAAGAAAACCAGATCTATACAAAAATGGAAAATGCCCATGGTGCACTCATCAAGAAACTACAGAACATATATTCAAAGAACATTATATAGACCAAGTCAGATCAGAATTTTTGGAAATTCTGAAAGAAGAAATTTCATACAGAATGGAAACCAAAGAGAAATTTAATTGGCGCAGCAAGCTCGAAGAAATAGTAACTGACTCAGAAAGAAGTCTCAGATACATAACTAAAGGCATCTTCAACAAAAATCTGACCTCGCTGATAGAACAAATAAATGGTATAAAAACAAAGGATATATTAAAAGTGGTAACAAGCAGGATGACAGAAGTACTCCAAAAAATATGGTCAAAAAGATGTCAACGTTTTTAGCAACGGAAAGCTAGCAAAGATATCAGTAGAATCAAGAAAAGAAGCAAGAGCAATGGACACTTGCATAATAACCAAGCTGGTATATAACCAAACCACCAAAGTAGAAAACAAGAAGAAATATCAAATATGTAGCATAAGCTTTTAAAGAACTAATTAGATCAGGGTGAAAATATTATTAATTTTAATTTTTATTATTCATATAATAACAATACTGATGGAGCCTTGGCACGTTAGTCTTGACAAATACTGTTTGGACTAGTCAATAGCAACAAGTCGATATAAAAGAAATTTGATATAGCCTAATATACATCTAGAATAGTTTATAGATAGTAATTCTTGTAAAAGAAGTAATATATATAAACTAAATAAAGCACATTAGACAAGGCCTAGCTAGTTGATTTAAAAAAAAAAATTAAATATTTTTAAGTCAAAAATAGGCATCTTTTCTTTGATAACAATGTAAGGCACCTAATAAATTATGTAATTGTTTTCATAAGGGATTATAACATGGAACTATTAATTTCAATAATTTAGATATTAGCTTATCTAATATTTTTTTATTTTCAGAACTCAAAAAAACTTTATCTACTCTTAATTTATAATGTTTAGAGAGAATTTTTACAATAATTTTTATTTTGTCTTTTGCTTTTCTTGGATCTGATTCATAAACTGCTTTATCCTTATTTTTTATATCTCTAACTAATTAAAACCTTTGTTCCTGTAGACTTAACTAATTTTTGGTACTTTTATAATCTTTGATATTTTTATAATTTTCAGTATTTTCATAATTTTCAGCATCAGTATTTTCAAAATATTTAACATTATTATTATTAAAATTTTTATTCAAAAGTTCTATTGGTACCACAAATGTCTTAAATAATATAGATCATATAAATAATCCAGATTTTGAAGATATTACAACAATAGAATCCTGATTTAAGGATTGATTTTCTAAATATTTGTTTTTTCCTTGAATTTTTTTTTGGATGATAAACTCTCTATTTATATATTCTAAAAATTTTATTTGATCTTTTAAATCATTTATCTTGCTTTCTAATTTGATATTTGTTTTTTTTAACTCTTTAATTTCTATTTGCAAATATTTAATTTTAATTTTTAAATAAATCAGTTGATTAATAAAAATAAGATTTAAATAATTTGGCATTAATCTAATTTTGTATCTTCTTTGGATATTAATTTAAATTTTTATATTAATGGAGTTGAAAATTGAATAGATGATCTTCTTTTAATTAATTGTTGTACTGAAATAAAAGTTAATAGAGATTTTATATCAGATAATACTAAATGAAATCTTATTTTCCAAACTTTTAATGAAATCTAAAAAGACTTAAAGATTGCCGTGATTGTGATAAAGGTTGTTATAATTGTGAAGATTACTGTAATTGTAAAAATTATTATAATTGAGAAGGTTGCTATAATTATAAATATTGCTATGATTGTAAAGGTTGCCATAATTGCAAAAGTTGCTATAATTATAAAGGTTGCTATTATTGTAAAAGTTGTTATGATTATAAAGGTTGTGATAATTGTGATAGTTGCTATAATTGTGAAGATTGCTATAATTGCAAAAATTAAAAAGATTACAAAAATAATGAAAACTATTCTCTAAGAATTTTTTTATTAAAGTTTTTTTTACTTGTTTAAATATTTTTAATTTTAGATTTTATTAAATAAAGTAATATTTATATAAAATTATTTGTATTATAAAATTATATTTTTTTGATATATTATATGATTTATTGACTTTTGCTTTTTATATAATATAATATATTTATATTATATTACATTTGTATTATATTATACTTTTATTACATTATGATTTAGCAATGCAAAATTTAAATAACTTTTTTATTTTAGTTATTTTAAATGTTAAGAAAATATTTAATTTTAGCTTTATTTAATAAAAGTTAAAGAAAAAAGTTTAAAATAAAAATTTTCTACAATTGTAACAAATGTAATAAATTACTTGTTAATATTTGAACTAAATTTTCTTATAGATATTAAAAATTCAAAAAAAAAGTTATAACAAAGCAAAAATTTATATTTCAATTCGGAACAAAAAATATTTAACAAAATCAAATTATGTTTTTAGGTAATAATTAAGAAAGCATAATATAAGATCATAATAGTTTTGATGTTGATATTTTTAATAATGATATTACTGAAGATAATAATGCAACTTTTGATAAATTAAATAACCTATTTGAAAATTATTCAGCATCAAGTTTTTCAAATTCTAAATCATCAAAGCAAAATAACTTTATTGATACTGATAGTAAATTTATATGAATTATTATAAATTATAAACTTTAGAATAAAATTTAATTATCAAATAATATAATAGAGATACTTCTAAAGTTTATGAAATTAGTGTTAATTAAAATCAGTGATAATGAATTTGAATCTTTTTATGAATCTTTATATATTACCAAAAATTTTTTTAAATTGTCATATCAATTTATTAGTTTTGTAATATATCAAAAATGTCACAAGTTATATAAACAAAATGAAGTAATTCATTTCAATAAAACAATTGATTATCTATTATGAAATATATTTATATTGAATTTTCAAACCCACAACTCAAAGAAAATATTATAATACTTTATTATCTGTACAATCAAAATTATTAAATGGAAGTAAAATCAATTGGCCAGAATTAATTTTTTTTTATATTATTATTTGATATCAATTAGTACAAATGTATTAAAATCCAGGTTTTGAATTTAATTTTTGATTTTGAACAAATAGATCAAATTTTGATAAATATCTTTATAATATTATAATGGCAATATTTGAAAAACCTTAAAAGATAAAAATTTAAAATTATTTTTTAGTAAAGAAAAGACTAGTTCATACTTAGGATTGATATTAATATTGACTGATTTTAATTATATAATAACAAAACATACAATATAATACTGGTATTATATATATAGCAATCATTAATCTATTATGTAAAATATGGTTTAAGTATAAAAATATGCTGATTCTTGATATATTATCAAGCTTTAGTGAATCAAATTTGCATCAAATAAATCATTACCTTTATTAATTATAGATAAATTAATGCAACTATAGCAATAAATAATGTTAGATTTTACTATTAAAAATAAAA